AACATAATTTCTTGCCTAAGGAGATGACATGTGACATATTCTTCAATGTTAGCAATACTGAAGCATAAGAAACTCTCAGGAGGTAAGATAGCCAAATATGGACCCATTCCATCCACTCTCTGATGATGCACAGATCTGCTGCCTCTATGTTGTAGACAGGACCATGTGAAGTCATAAAATGAATAAGTGTAACCCCTCTCCAACCTTAGCTAATATACAAATCATGACAGTGTCAGTGCCTTCACGACACCCCATCCTACCTCCCTATACTCCATCCTACCTCACAACACACCACTCTATCTCACTACACCCAACTCTACCTCACTACGACCCATCCTACCTCACTACACCCCACCCTACCTCCCTACACCCCATCCTACCTCACTACACCCCATCCTACCTCACTACACCCCACCCTACCTCACTACACCCCATCCTACCTCACTACACCCCACCCTAGCTCACTACACCCCATCCTACCTCACTACACCCCACCCTACCTCACTACACCCCCCTCCTCCTACCACTCTACACCCCATCCTACTCCTCCTACACCCCACCCTCCTACCTCTACTACACCCCATCCTACCTCCACACTACACCCCACTTACTCCTACCTCACTACACCCCATCCTACCTCACTACACCCCACCCTACCTCATCCTTCTCACTACACCCCATCCTACCTTACTACACCCTACTCCTCCCTACACACACCTACACCCTACCCTACCTCACACCCCACCCTACCTCATCCTACTCCTCCCTACACCCCATCCTACCTCTCTCACTACACATCCCCATCCTCACCTCACTACACCCCACCCTACCTCACTACTCCCCCCACCCTACTCCCTCCTACTCACTACCCCATCCTATCCTCACTACTACCCCTCACCCTACTCACCTCTACCTCACTACACCCCCATCCTACTCCTACTACACCTCTACATCCTGCCTACACCCTGCACTACACTACACCCCATCCTACACCCCCGCCTCTATCCTACATTACACCCTAGCTCACCTCACTACACCCCATCCTACCTTTTACTACATCCCACCTCCTACCTCACTACACCCCATCCTACTCCTCACTACACCATCCTACCTCCCCTACACCCCACCTACTCTTCACTACACCCCACCCTACCTCACTCCTACCTCACCTCACTACTTCCCCACCCATACCTCACCACACCCTACCACTACACCTCACTACTACCCCCCTACTCCCACCCTACACCCCATATCCTCACTACACCTCCCACCCTACCTCACTACACCCCACCCTACATCACTACACCCAACCCTACCTCCTACACACACCTACCTCCTACCCCACCCTACACTACACCTCCCTACCTCCCTACACCCCATCCTACCTCACTACACCCCACCCTACCTCACTACTACCCCACCCTACACTACCTCACTACACCCCATCCTACCTCACTACACTACTATCCACCTCTACACCCCGCTTCTACCCTCACTACACCCCCTTCTACCTCACTCACACCCCCCTCACCTCACACCCCACCCTACCTCACTACACCCCATCCTACTCACTACACCCCACTCCTACCTCACTACTACACCCCATCCTACCTCACTACACTAAATCCCACCCACCCTACCTCACTCACTACTACCTCACTACACCCCACTCTCTACCTCACTACACTCCCACCCTACTTCTTCACTACACCCCATCCTACATCAGCTTCTACCTCACTACACACCCCCATCCCCTACCTCACTACACACTCCATCCAACCCTCACACTCCCATCCTACCTCACTACACCCCACTCTACTCTACCTCACTACACCCCACCCTACCTCACTACACTCCACCCCTCTACACTCACTCCCTACCCTACCTCACTACACCCCATCCTACCTCACTCACTACACCCCCCTCTACCTCACTACACCCCACCCTACCTCACTACACCCCATCCTACCTCACTACACCCCACCCTACCTCCTACACCACACCCCTACTCCTCACCTCACTTCCTCACTACCCACCCCACCTCTACTACACCCCATCCTACCTCACTACACCCCACCCTACCTCACTACACCCCCACCCTACCTCACTACACCCCATTCCTACCTCACTACACCCCACCCTACCTCACTACACCCCACCTCTACCTCACTACACCCCATCCTACCTCACTACACCCCACCCTACCTCACTACACCCCACTCCTACCCTCACTCACACCCCACCCTACTCACTACATCCCCCACCCTACCTCACTACACCCCATCCTACCTCACTACATCCCCCATCCTACCTCACTACACCCCCACCCTACCTCACTACACACCACTCTACCTCACTACACCCCACCCTACCTCACTACACCCCATCCTACCTCACTACACCCCATCCTACCTCACTACACCCCACCCTACCTCACTACACCCCATCCTACCTCACTACACCCCATCCTACCTCACTACACCCCATCCTACCTCACTACACCCCACCCTACCTCACTACACCCCATCCTACCTCACTACACCCCATCCTACCTCACTACACCCCATCCTACCTCACTACACCCCATCCTACCTCACTACACCCCATCCTACCTCACTACACCCCACCTACCTCCTACACTACACTACCACTACACCCCTCACTACACCCCATCATACCTCACTACACCCCATCATACTTCGATTCTCCTAAAAATTACAAAGAAACTCCCCCTGCATGCAGTAGGCAGCCAAAGATATATAGTGATGAACAGCTTGTTTGTTTCTGGGTCTTTTATTAGCCAGATTTTGATATTTGTTGACCAAAATGTTTGAAGAATAAAATTGCTAATTACTATTAAAATCTCAGCCTTGGCATTTGAACAATAGTTATCTACTACGTTTCATTCCCAACGCAGTGATGCTATATAAGTCTTCATAAATATAGAAATAAATCTGATGAATATAATGTATACGAATTTCTCTGGTTACCTCCCACAGAGGAGACAAAATTAAAGGTATATTACTGCTCAAACTATTCAAATGCAATCTCTATGATTACATATTTTACAAAGGTTTAAATTCATTTCTTTTTAATGAAATATTGCAGACAACAAAGCATTAAAACTCAATCCTTAAATCACAAAGCATTCACTTAAAGAAAACCATAAAACAGTTGTTTCCACAAAAACATGTTCCCAGACATAGAACACAGTACCAAAACACAGCCATCATTATGGTCGACCTTGACCAAGTGAATAATTTAAAAGTCCCAAGGAGAGATGTGTGAATACTTTCAGAAAGCTGATAGTTGAGTGCAAATCACTAGCTGGTGGCAAGCTGTAAACAAACCAACTATGTTCCTCAATTTGACACCACAATGGAAGAGACAATGCCAACTGTACAAAATCTATTGCTACTGGAGATTCTAGTAATCGACATACTACTCGGTACACACAGCAATACGGCTAGCATGATACGCCCAGTTAAAGGTTTGCCATATCTGGGATATTTAATACACTATACTGATAAAAATTCTAATGTAGTTTTGTTGGAAAACTAAATTATTATTTCTGAATCATGCCCAATTCGAATGACTTACTTAGATACTATTTTAGAGACAAAAATAATAACTATCTCATGAATTATGTTTTTTGCAGGAAATTCTTCTTGTAATCCAATATGGAATTAGTCAGGTAGGTCAGTCTTTGGCCAGTTCCTGTAATTTCCACAGATTCTTCAGTCAATCATGCCAGCCTTCAAATTCCTCTGTGGAATAATGTTTGGTACAACTTACCTGTTTACTGCAAAAACATTGATAAATTATATACAATCCCCTAAACATATGGCCAGGGGTGAAAGGTTGCATTGAGGTATTACTGTTTTTGCCTGTAAGTAAGTACATGTATTTCTAGAAAGATGGAAGGAAAATTTCAATTGCTTCTGAATTGGCAGTTGAAGTAGATGATAGGAATGGAATTGGTTCTTTTTCAAACTTAAGTACCAAGCATCATTAAAAATAATTTAAAGTGTGTTTTTTATTCATTTTAAATCCAAGCGTACCTCACTACACCAGGTAGAAGATTTTTGTTTACTTTTACATTTTTATGGATGTTTTTTTTCCCTTTTTCAGCATGGAAAGGGTTGCTGTTACCAGAAGGGAGAAATTTCCACAAGAAAATCCAGAGTATTTGTGTAAATGTATTATTTTCTCTTCAGTATGGACATGCATGCTTTACTGCAGAGAAATATTTTTGTTAGGCCATGTGACTGAAAATGCATATGTGTGACAATGGTGCTAAATTTTTGTACAAATGTACCAAAAATGCAAATGTCTTTATATCAATATAAAAGATCCCTAAAAACTCAAAAATAGTTCTTATTTCTTGTCTATGCATTTTATCTAAGTTTCCTATTTCATTCTCAAGATGTGAAGCCCAAATGTCATTGTAGGTCCTTCTAAATATATCCACTCTATAAGGAGTCAATTCCAAATGTTAATCACATTTATGGGAACTCTGTAATGAAATCGGCATCTTTATTGACAGGTGATATTTACATGTCTGTTATGCTTATTGCTATTTGTAAACTGTTATTTCTTATGTTTTAGACAGTTGACATTTCTACGTACCATGTCTATTTCATTTAGTGAGTGTTGCACATGGGTCAAGCAATTGGAACTTTACATATGACAAAACTCATAAATAAGATATTTATATGTTTAACATATGTTTTTTGTGCATGTTGCTTTGTATGGTATGCAATGCATATGTAGTTTTTGCTTGTAGTGTACAAAAATGTAGACATAAATAATGAGAAAATAACATGCAACACACAACATGAAATATACAAGTAGAAGAATGAAATGTACAGGATGCCTGCCAACATTTCTAACCAAATTCACATAATCCCTTAGTGGTATCCAGGATCAGAAGAAAGGCTTGGCACCAAAAGGACTGAAAATGAAATTTGAAAGTAATAATAATTTCCAACAATTCCTACCTGTGAGCTACGCCCCTCTCATGGAGGTAATGTATTGCTGAGACCATCTGACGTACAAATGTCCGAGATTTATCCTCCGACAGCCGATAGTCTTTATGCATTTTGATATATGCCAACAGTTCTCCGCCAGAGGCATATTCGGTGACCAAACAGTATAACGAGGATGCCTGAAATACAAACAGATTTGTCAAATATTTTGCAACATTATCCAAAATGGGTGAAATTGAAGCTGGTTATGATATTTGAAAGAGTTTAACACTACTTATGGCCATTATCAGTCTCAGATTTCTAAGCAGCAATGGGTAAATATCCTAATGTATTGCCTTATTGTGGCAGGAAATCCTGAAGTGAGGCAGTTCTTTGACCTTTATCTCTATGGCGACGTGAGATGGAATGGAGTTAACATCTCATTCAAGAATATGTACACTTGTATAGCGACCTCAACTGGACTAATGCCAGTTTTAAAGAGCTAGACCAATGAGACACCATGTTCAATTCAACATGGTAACTGAACTCAGATACAGCATACTGATTAAAAACTGACCAGTCCTTGTTTATCCCTTTGTCCCATTACCAGGCAGGGTATTAACAAGTACCACCTTTGAACAGTTTTTTGTATGACCCATGCAGGCAGGGCTGTAACCCCTACCAGGGCTCTGTTCACTCTATGCAGCAGTCTTACCTCATCAGTATGCAGTACTGATATCATAACCATAACAATCTTAGATTCAAACCTATGGACAAAAGATCCTGAACATCTAAGGGAGGCAACTCTGCAGAGTGAATTCACAATGGGCTTACCATGCCCCTAAAGATTTCTGATTCTTTTTATGGAATGTAGCTAATAGAAATGTGTACCATCTTAGTTGAAAAAACCCCACAAAAACAAAGAACTTTCTCAATTCACTTGAAACAAGTTAAAAGTTTCTACAGCAATATATGTCATATCATAATATATAGTTCCATTATGTAGGTTTATATCAGTGTATGCTCACAACTACCAGCTGTATTTGAAACAGCCATCTTACAGGGTTAAAAGGCAATGAAGGCTTTACATAATCACCAAACTTCATCATATTCTTACAAAACCTACAAGTGACTGTTATAGGCTAAATAAAGTTCCATTTAACCAGAGTATATGTCATTTTCTGACTGAGGGTGACTATTTTAATGTCGTCTCTGAATCCATCCCTAAATGTCTGCAATACTAAATGACATTAACATGAACACATTGATATATTAGCTCATACATTAACCTCATCAGGACATTTGATCAGAAACTAGGAGATGGATTAAAAACGTCTTGCAATAGAACATTTTCTGTCATTACTGACATTTAAACATCCATAGCAGGGGATTCTATTTCAACTTGTAAATATCAAACCAGAATTATTACTTAATCTCTGAAAACATCTATTTCTCTAACCTAAATGACTCTATAAGTCCTGAGCACTTAATAACCCTTCTCCTCCAGATCATTCACAAATATGTCCTCTCCCAACCCTCCCCCTCCCAATGAAGACAATCAAAATAATCTCTGGCCTTGCATAACCATGCATGGATCACCGCTCCAGCAAGAATCATGCAAATATCCTCGTTCATATCATGTCAATTTCACTTAAATATCATACTACCAGAATTGCATCCTATTGAATGGAGCTATAGGCGGGCAGTGCAGTGCAGTAAATATTATGTTAATGCTATTATTCTGTATTGATTGAACAAGGCCTGTGATGCACGAGGCTGTTAACGGCTCCAATATGGAAGGAGGCTCCCACAGTGTGAGTAAGGGATAGGTAAGCGTATTTAACATGTGAAATGGGTCTTATAGATTCACTTGTAAGCTTTGTTGTTAGGGCTGTTTAGTTACAGGGTTATGTTGGGTCAAACATGCTGAGTACCCTCTTTGAAGACTGCATATTCAATGTTAAGTTAGTTCTGAGCTGTTGGAAAATCAAAGTTGTAGGATAGGGTATGTGTGTTATGCATAATGGTCAAAGTAAGATATGGTGAAAAACACAATGGTAACCTTTTGTAGGAGGAATGTGTGTGTATGATGAGGTGGAGTGGGATGAGGTAGGGGTGAGGCAGTGGTGAGGCAGTGGTGAGGCAGGGTAAGGCAGTGGTGAGGCAGGGATGATGTACGGGTGAGGTAGGGAAGAGGCAAGGATGAGGTAGGGGTGAGGCAGGGATAATGTAGGGTGAGGCAGGGTTGATGTAGGGGTGAGGTAGGGAAGAGGCAGGGATGAGGTAGGGGTGAGGTAGGGGTGAGGCAGTGGTGAGGCAGGGTAAGGCAGGAGTGAGGTAGGGATTAGGCAGGGTGAGGCATGGGTGAGGCAGGGGTGAGACAGGAATGAGGCAGGGGTGAGACGGATGTTGTAGGGGTGAGGCAGGGTAACAACAAGTACCATTTTAAAGGCTAATGGTATGAAGAAGATGGCGATCGAACAACCAATCTTCTGCTCTCCACCAAACCATGAAGCAGAACATCCCATCATCATCATCTACACTGTCATCCTCATCTCTATCATCATCATCATCGTCATCTTCCCCCTCCTTATCTCTCCAAACACACCCTCCCCATTCTTCAACCCAAATTGCCCTACCTGGTCATTGTTTAAACTCAACCCTTGAAATAAGCTATTACTTGTCCAGTGGTGCAGTTACTGACCAGTACCCAAGAAAACACCTTTAAATGAACACAAAAGAAGCATCTCATGTAATACTAAACTACCACTTGATCCGTGTACCATAACTGCCAATGACAGCATTCATTAACAGGTATGTCAACACAAGAAGATGGTGAAAGAAACCACCACAAGACTTCAGTGTTGACATGATACAAACATATCTATAGATTAACAGTACTTCACAGTGCCAAATTGGTCAAACAACAAAATCGCTTCAAATTAGAGTTATCAGAGGCACTTGGCATCTTATCTATATTAAAGGTGCTCTTTAAGGCTAATTAAACATATCACTATCAATCTAATAACATTGGTTCAACTAGTGAGATTAGTACTGATGCTAAGAAACCTTTCAAGTTAAGAGTTTAAAATAAGCTTGAAATACATGCATGAAAAGATACTGTTATATGTTTAGGGGGTTCCTAGGATCACAAAGGAATCTTTCAAAAGTATTAAAAAATATCAAATTGAGCATGTATGTTTAACATCAATGTTCACAAACATTGATAGCAATTTCAGGATAATTTGTTTACAGATAAATGATGACCTCAAAAATAAGTAATGTTAGAACACTCACTTATTGTTTGTCCTTCAAAGTTGTGTTAATTTCAACATATTAGATTTCATGATATGTTGCCAAATTCACACAGCTGACAAATATATTTCTTGGAAATTGAAACTGCAACACTCTAAAGACTGTTCTTCTGCAATGTAACTCCAAGTTTAACAACTTTAAGGAAAATAGAGACTGTATGTTTTTCCTATGTGACTAAGTTCTGACAACATCAAGGAAAATGAAGATTACCCTTTTCCACATACATATGTTATATTTGGGATTACACTTTCTTAGTAAAGTACAGATTCTAGTGCTTTTGTTAGGTTGAGTCCAATCTGGGATTCGAACCCACACCCTCAGAGTCAGGCACCTAATTGCCAGCACACGAAGTCAGCCACCTAACCTGTTCAGCCACCACGGCTTCCACAAATGGCATTGTGTATTCATATCCTTCTCCAGTGTAGCCTACCTTGTGACTGATCAAGAAACTGTAGATGTAGATAATACAGATTGACAACAGTAGCAAACATTTAAATGTCTGAGCAATTAACATTAACAAGACCATAAAACAAAAATTCATATTGTTCTAATAAGTATCAGTTTACATAACAAACAAGTCCCGCTGCACAAATTTCATGTCAATTTCAAATAAACAAGTTTATAAAAATACACTCTTAATTATTTTGTCAAGTTCTACTACTGTACCTTCTTACAAGGAATATTAAAACCATATGAATTCTGAAGTCATTTATGAGTTATCAAACGTAACTTTGATTGAAATACTCCTTAAGTGCATATATCTGATATCTTTCAAAATGTAAATGAATTCTAACCTAGTCAAAACTGAACTTTACATCGTTCATTTCAAGTCAAAGAATATCACTCCAGTATGAAAAAAACATGTGGTGTCTATAATAGTTATCATGAACATCGTCACTCTGCTTACATGTTATTGTAAATTCTTTAACTGTTTAGTAAAATTCGGCTCCAAAAACAATGTGTGCAAAAACCTCTGAACTCACAAACCTTACTCAGCATCCCAACTATTTAATAATACCTTTCAGCTGTTGCTACCGTCATCAGAAAGCAATATTAGGAACTTTCAAATGTCACATGCTAGCATGCTGTGGTTTGAAATGTAGTATGCGGTAATATCTACAGTCTGCTGAATTGAACCTCAATCAAGTCTCACATACATATAATTTAATTTCAATTTCACCTCTGTATGCATATTTACAATATTTCACATCCCATTGACAAATGGTGAATTTAAGGTAAACAGTAAAAAACATTCCTTTAAAATATTAACATTTTTTCATAATCTTTTTTCTTCCAGCTAGATTTATGTTTTCTGAAGCTGCCATAAAGCTCTAATTAACTGGGGTGCATCTTATATAATGGTTATTACATTACGTTGTAGTTCCGGCAATAAATTGACAATATTTTATAAACAGCATGTTTTCAATTAAAGAAACTGAGTCATAGCAATAAAAATAAATAGCTTTATAACAAAAAGTGTGAAATCTACAAGATTAGGGGATATTTACATCACCTAAGTTTTTCGGTGAGGCATTATTTATAAACTTGTGCAATAAACAATTGCCTTTTCCTAAACAGTAGCTAAATATGATAATTATTATTATTATCAGCATTTACAGCTATGATTTTCTTTGTGTGACTTAACTGGGAGATATAAACCTGTGGTGAGCCATATACTGCTGGAGAATAACTGTGTACAACAGTCAATATGAAATGCCTTGTTTGTTTGTTGTTTAATGCCACACCCAGCAATATTCCATCTGCATGATGGCGGTCTGTAAATAATAAAGTTTGGACCAGACAATCCAGTGATTGACATTATGATCATGATTATACACAACTGAGATATGATGACATGCATCCACCAAGTCAGCAAGCATCAACA